TCAGCAAAACGGAAGGTATTGGGTTTCGTGAGTTATCGTGTTGAAGTTCCTGTGATAAGTAGGTTTATCGAAAATAATCTTGTAAACAAAGACTGTGTGAGAACCGTTTGCTTGATGCTAAAGACATAAATTCAGGGTAGACGCAAACACCTCATGCAAGTAGGTCGAAAGGGACTTTGCCTGAAACAAACGGAACTTACAATCAGTTGTAGCAAACTAAAGGACAAAAACATATCCTACACCAAGCCGTCTTATGCATATGACCAGTATTTACTTATCAAAAGATCCCCGAAGAAAATGAAAAAGGGTGAGTAAATTATTCAAGAGGTTTTGTCCTCGCATAAGTAAGCCCTTGTTTGTTCAAATGACACAAAACACTCAGCAAAAAATCTGAATCTTTCCTGCGTAAGACAAGCGAAATTTGTGCTTGTCTCCATTGTACTTCTGCAAGTTATGCTGTCCAGATTAGAAAGTGTCAAATCTAACATGAACCAAGTTCTTTAAGGTTAATTCTATAAGCGCTTACTCATTTTCATAGACAAGTATGGGTGTTTACGGATAGGATGTGGGCAACGGTAAGGTGAAGGAACCAACTTACTTTCCGGTAGACTGTGGCTTGTGTCATAGGGGAATGGCGGTAGTTGGGGTTTTTCGGGTGGGACAGTACGCCTAAAAATAAGCTAATAAAATGCAAGAAAACAAAGAAATGGTTTAGATTTTTGCCGAACTTCTTCTCACAGGCCTTCGTATAACAACGGAAAGAGAGCTTTCACTAAAAAAAAAACAAACAAAAAGCAAACTTTTGAAAAAAAACGGAGTTTGAGTTCACGAAAAGTAATTGTTGCTGGCAGCTTAATGTCTGCAATGCCTTGCAACTGGATTCCAGGATAAAATTCCATGTGACACGATCCACAGTCTACCAACAGTTACGCGAGCTTCTTCCCTTACCATTGCTGAAATTCGTTTGATAAACTTTGACTCGATTTCTCTACGTCAGTAATCTTACTAAATGATTTTCCGCACTGACAGCACAGGTATCAACTAAAATCCCAGACAGGGGTTCCTCCAATCTTACGTTGCTGCATGAAGCAACTGCAAGGGGTTCGGCTCATCAGTGGTTCCTCCAGCCCTTCCCATGTGCTTTACGACATATAAACCACATTTTCAATGCTGCTGTATTTTAATTTTCTCGGAATGTTCTGTGCGAACTTCGAACCGATCCTTCAAAACAAAGATTTCAGGCTCGGCCCGAAGGTTGACATGAGTTGAAATACACTGGCTACTGCAACGTAAATATTACGCGGTCATTCCGCAGCGGCTGATGGATTTCGGTCCGACTATCATATCAACTTTTGGACTGAGCCCGGAAGCCTTGTTTCCAAGGATCTGGTCGAATTTCGCGCAATGATTTCCAAGGAGATCAAAAAGACGTCCTTCGTTTTTTTTCGAGAATTTATTGAGACAAAAACTCCGTTTTCGAATTATGGCTTGATGCTTTTCTTTGTCAGTCGTAACACCGCTAAGGTCAGTTACTATTTCGATATTTAAGCCTTTAAAATTTGCAAATTCGAAAATGGTAGGGGGCGCTCACCGATCGTTCATACGGAACTCACTCGTTCCGTTGTGCTTTAAGGGCTCTCTCTCGAGCCCAACCAGCTGCCGCACAGCGGCGCATGATACATAGGCAGAATAGCATTACTGACAAAGACAAGGAAGACTGGAATGGCTATTTCTGGCTTATTAGCCGTCGTCAGCCAGCCATACCCAAGCCCGAAGTGTGGAACACCCGAGCCTCGAACTCGCGACCTGTCGAAAATATTTTTCGAAAAACCCGTTTTAGCCTTAAGAAACCACCCAAAAGTTCGGTGGTCTTCATGAAAAAGCACTACAGCACATTAACAAGCCACCAATATTTAAAGGCCGCACGGCATTCCTAACAATGTTGGCGCGTATCATCACACGACTTGCATGTACAAGTGATCGGAGCTTCTAGATGGTCGTGAGAAACCCACTTTAATTTTCCTCTTCGGAATTCAACGGACAACATTTTCCCGATGTATGGCCTACAGTTACAAAAAGCACGACTATTACCGGCTGGAAAGGTTTGCAAAATAGTTACAACTCTTGTGCTTACATTTTATGCTGACAGCATGTTCGATTCAAATGAGTACTGACAACGACCGCCGGTGTGGCGACTGGCGTAGTACAATACGATGCTAACGAAAGGTAATACGCATCAGAATTGTCTGGTTACTACAGATATGTGCTCGGACAATCGTTCTGTGGTTGCTGCTAACTGTGGAATCACCATCTGCCCTTCCTGCGGAAAGTTTGCATTGAACGATCTGTTTTTGTGACATTCAAATTATTTCCTACAGACTGACCCTCTCTAGATAACTCTTGCGTCGGACTTTCGAAAAATTAATCGCAAGTTCGCGCGAATCCTTCACTCGTACTTGCAGTAGCCGGTGAATTCGAGGCATGTGAACGCTGATGGCTGGCCTTCTCGGAGACACGGAGTTTTTACTTGCGTGCTCCCAGGAAACGTTAGCTAGAGAATGATTAAAATACACTGCTCATCTTTCGCTTTCATTGCTGTATTTTTAAAGTGTAAAACAAAGTGAATGTGCGTAAATGGACTTCAAAAGTAGTTTTAAAAATGCACGTTCATCTGATGCAATGGCAAATGCCCGCTGACGCGTCCTTATTTAAAAGTTGAAGTTCTATAATGGTTTTTGCCCGAAAAATTTGAAGTATTCCATACTTAATGGATTCATATCAACCATTATAGATGGTATCCTAGTAAGGACATGAGTTCATAGTTCAACCGCGCGCATCCCCCGCCTTCGTTCTTAAACGATTCAGTGAAAGCCACCAAACGGAGTTTCTGAAAGCCTCTACGAAGACATTAAAAGCTCATTAAAATTTACTGACGGTTAAATGCCCAACTGAATTCCAGTTAATTATTTAGCGTCTATGGCCAAAAAAGATGCGCACGTACTTTTCTACCCGTCGCCCAACTTCTTTCGTACGGGGAAAGTGCCCGCAAATTTTTTTGGTTTGCTGATTAATGGCCTATTAAATAATGGTCTTCACATTAGTACGTTCAGGCTGCAATGCCGGAGAAAGGTAGCAGTCATTAGGCAAGGTTATATGGTTGAAGTAGACATTAAACTAAGATGAAATTTTGTTTATTTGATCATTGAATACTGTCCTTTTCGGTCGTCTCAAGGCCACATTAACAGCTTTTTCAAAATAAAGGAACTAAGGCATATTTCTCTAATTTAGAGAGTTTTACTGCTGGGCAAAGTTTACATTCAAAATAAGTTTTAAGGTGGAGGGAAACATTTACTTAGATGACTGAAATTATAACCATATAGAGTATTTAGCAGAGATACTTCTGCCATGATGATGGCACACTAATTAACTGGTCGTTATTTGGTTTTTAAACGGTTTGAATTACACGAAAAGCATAAAAATCACAGGGAACAGAATAGCAGGCTGGGTTTCTTATCAGACGTTTCTGCACAAAGACAAATAAGCATTAAAACGGGAATTGTTAAAGAAAGCTATTTTTCTTTACCTTCAGTACTTAATTATCAGCAAGCATCATAAAACGTTCTCTGTTGTAAAAAACTTTCCGGAAGCTTTACATGGAAAGCCTTTACTTGTTTAAACTACGCACATAAAACACTTGCGTTGTCGGCATAATACGGTGGGTTCCGCTACTGTAGAGTATACTACAGGAGATATAGCAAACACAGCAAAATAAGGAGCAAAGATTTGAATTTAAAAATTACGGAACATTTGCGAAAGATTACTGCGATTCTGACTCAGTCTCACGGGCTCCCAAGGCTCGTTAGTTATAGTCGAGGCAGTAAGGATTAAAAAAGGACTAGTATGTACACTTTAACCAAGTGAATTAATTTCCCTCTGTTTCCAAACTCTGTACTGTCTTCGTATATGCCTTCATTATTTTCCATGACATCCACTTGTTTCAGCGCTGATGGAAATTATGAAGTTATGTGGCAGCCTAATGTGCTTGTTCATTATGATGGTTCAATCCTTTGGATGCCTCCCGCCGTCTACGAGAGTTCCTGCACAATTGATGTAGAATATTTTCCGTTTGACGAACAAGAATGCGAAATGAAGTTTGGCAGCTGGACTTATGATGCATCGCAAGTAAGACCCTGCGTTTTAGTCACCCACAGATCCTTTGCCAAGTTAGTCGGCCCGAAGCTACTTGTTTTTTCTTTCATTTTATTGTCTCGGCCTTTTTGGTAGCTGCTTGCTATGTCAGTCAGTACTTGGAGATGGGAGAGTTGAAATTCTGTGATGATAGTTTGGTCCAATGGTTCACCTGCGTCGCTGTCGCCGAGTTCGTTATATTACTGTTTCTGGCCGATATTAGCAAATGGACTGTGGTTGCCTTATCTTGGCCTGTTTGCAGATAATAAAGTAGAATCCTGTAACTCGGGAGGAGGTTAATATACCGCTTTGTTGAATTGGTATATAGAAGCTATACTTCTGATATTACTCGCCTCTCACACCACTGGGAGTTGAAGTTGCCCACAAACCGGAGGCAACCATCAGGCGCCAGGTCATGAGAACGAGAAATCTACTGTCACGGCAAGAGACACCCGAGGTCTTATACCGGATCTGGTGCAGTTGTGGACAAAGCGATTACATCGAGGAAACTGGAAGGTTATTCTAAACGCGAATGGCCGAAAAAACAGTAGTTGGGCTACCTCGTGAAATGTCAACCGAAATTCCGAAATACGTTTTCGTTCCGAGAATATTCATTAAGTAGGGTTGTAAAATCAATCCTCTTGCAGCATAATTCTATAATAATCCAGTTACCCCGGGATTCCGGCCTTCGGATGAGCTGCAATGCAGAAACTATACTCTGTATAAAATGACTACCTAAGCAGCATGCAGTTATAGTTCATGGAAAACAGGTATTCATTCTTTTACTCATTCAGTAGTAAATTACGTTTTCTTTCAATTCGATATTCAACGAAATGGAAGAATTAGATTTTCAAAGAGTTCTCCAATACCCGAATAATTTGAAACCCGATCTGCTGTTACACTTGCATTCAGGGTCCCAAAACTACAAGCCGTATATTTTCCGCGTACGGAAAACTATACATTTTTCTACGGTGTTAGGAGGAGATCATATAGGGTTCAAAAATTTAGCAGAGGATTTAAGCCATTTTGTTAACTTTACAAGCCACATTCGTAAATGCAGAAACATGACGTTTTATGAACGGCCGTTTCCCGGTATTAAAGAATCTCACATTTGGAAACGTTTTGAAAACCGTATTCTTCCTTTTCGTTGAGTATAAAATTGGAAGAAGACGTAATTTTCTACCGAATGAGTAAGAGAATGAATACTTGTATACATGATTTCCATGAAATATAACTGGATTTTAGGGGCATCGAAAATCGATGAAAAAAGGCATGCTACTTAAGCAGCCATTTTTTACAGAGCATATGTTTTGCATGTAGCCGAAAAGAAGTTCTTTCAAAAGCCGGCATCCCGGGGTAACTGGATTATTATAAAATTATGCTTCATGATGATCAGTTTTACAACCCTACTTAATTTATCTTTTCGAAATGAAAACGCATTTGAGAATTTTGGTTGACATTTCACGAGTTAGCCCACCTACTATACAGCAGCAGTGAGGATAAAGAATGCTAGCTCCCAGATTCCGGCTCATTTGACTGGACTGAGCCCCACCTTCCAGTCAGACGAAACCGAATTTCCCGAGAGATGTGAAAACCGCGTAAGCCGTGAGCTGCTTGAGTGATAATTCGCCGACCATTAGTCAATAGCAGCAAACGACCCCCTTCCTCCATAGTGGGCGCTGCAATTTGGCCTGCGCAAAATAATTAGCCTCGCGGAGAGGGCGTGGCTGACTAACTGTTCCAGTGATAACGAACCAAATCGCCGATTAATCGTCACGCCAAGAATCACAACAATTTCCATCTTGGGTACGCATTGACAAGCGGGTATCGCATCATATACGACCCCCAGCTTCCTGGAACTCACATCTTCGCTTGTGTCGTCAGTGTGTCATACTGTCTTCGATCTGCATCGACCTGCAATGTATTCCCCTTAAATTCTAACAATACGGTCTCCTTCATCAAGGCGTGTTTAGCTTTATGAGGTTGGCTCTACTCTCCGTGCTGTCCTGTGCTCGCCCGGTCTCCACCATCGCAACATGCCTTGTAGTTAATTCTCGAGGGTACAGCGGTACTGTGTCCCTAGATTGAGTCACCTAACAATGATTCAGCTCTGTAATCCAAAGACAAGGGCCGCCTAACACTTCAGATCATTTGAATTTCTAAATTAAATTTTATCACACTTTTCCACAGGGCAATGAAATGGCACGTTGTCGGAAAAAGCATGTGGATCTTGATAGCTCCAGTTTTCCAGAATAGCCTGGGGTATTTGAAGAACGTATAATTCGAATAGAAAGCTACTAAAATGCCGCTGACATTGTGTTTCCACTCCCTATTATAAAAACCGTACGGAATACAAGCGCGACTTTGAAGGGACAGATGAGCGGGAAGGATAAAAAGGGTGAACCAAGCAAGACTCGAGGACATTTTCCGACAAAAACGTTCCTGCTTAGATGTAAGAAAGCCTCCTGGACATTCCATCCCTTCTCCTGTTTTGCAACGCGAACCTGAAAACGCTAGGAGCTAGGTGGACTTGTCAAAAAGGCTAACCGATAAACGGGTTAATATGCCTAGACAATGCGTCAGTAAAACCATTAGCGACGTGGGTACGCACACCGTCGAGCACAGACATTTAGCTAAGAAGATGCCAAATGCCAAAGAGGAGTGGAACTTTGACGTGCAGGTCATTGAAAGAATTGCAAATGAAAAGAAATACACGTAATAAGACTAGACACGGACTAATGGAACGTCTCTACATGCCGTAGCTCAGCTCTTTGGGACTGGTATTTGACATTTGTGGCACTTATTCGTAGGCGTTTTGTTTTGTCGTCAAGAGATTTCCGAATGATCTGCGGTCATCTAAAGGGGTCACTCTGGGCCACTGTAGTTCGTTAGGAAGCAAGTGCGTGCGTACTAGAAAGTACTGAGAATTATTCAGTGTTTGCAAACGAATGGGTCAACAGTCTTCATGAAATCCGGACCCGGAATTATAGTGAAATAGAGAGAAGACATCCCAATCCGGAACGATATTCACAAGCTGATACACATGGGCAATTTATGATTCTGGACTTGATCGAAAATAGCAAAGACTGGGGGCTTCGTCAATTTTTGTCCTCAAAAACTGATTCCTAGCCGTCGATCATTGGAATTTCTTTTGGAACTAAGACTGAGCACTACGATTTATGTGTAACGAGACATAACGGTTAGGATGTTGAAAAGGGCATTTTTTCGCCCAAAGTAGAACATTATGACAGTGATATTTAGGTAGCGGATCTAATCTGTACCGTTTGATTTAAATGTTATACCAGATACTGCTTTCAGTAATGAAATATCAGTACATATAACGTAAAGTATTCGAACGAAGTCCTTTTATTTATTTTATGGAATTTGGTTGAAGCGTTGACATTAATGTCATTTATGGTGGGAAAACGGGAAATTCTATTCCAAAATGAAACATTAGCGGGAAACACTGATTTCCTGTTCTCATTTAAAATGTGTTGCTAAAAGTCATCGTTTAATTCAAAAAGGGTACAGTAAACATGTTCTCTTTGAACTAACATGCAGGATGCTTTAAGAACGAGAATTTTGACGTATAAAATAAGAAGAGTTCAGGACAGCAGGAAAAATTTGAAAATAACAATTTAGAGACGCTATTTGGTCACGACATAGTTCAACCTTTCCAACATATGCTAGAAGTATAAGAAATCGATAGGTCTACCGTTGGCAAACGTTTAAATTCAGTGAGAATGATAAAAAAAACAAGAAAGTGGAGTGCCGCTGGAACTGGCTGAAAGACAATGAGAAGAGCGTAAAACCCAGTGTGAAATATTGCTCACAGAACGCCCATTTTTCATCAGATCGCGACGGGTGGCTAAAACTAATATGGAACGATAATTAAAACCCAAAACCCCGGAAGACGTCTGACTGACTATCAACATCAGCTGTAACGCAGAATATTAATGTAAGCAGGACTATACTGTGTATTCGGTTCGACCAAAAAGAGTGGTGGTGGTGGTGGTGGTGGAGGAGGAGTTGCTGAAGTCGTCTGAAAATGTTACTGGTGAGTGACACCAACAACGATTAATCAATCTGAGTCGGGCACAGGACAAAAAGGCCAAAAAGCAATGGACTACCTGATGGACTGATTTTAAAACAGGACAACGTTAGGCTGCATGTTGCATAACGGATGAAGGAAACTATATAACTACTTCGTTGGGAAGTCTTATCTCATCCTCCGTGTTCACTACATATTGCTCCATCAGAACCAATCATCACTTCCAATAATAAAGAAAACTGGATAATGTTGCTCATTAAACGTTATTTTTGGCACGACCGCGGTAAAAAAATGAAATCTAAATGTTAATTATGAGTAGATTTTCCGTGCGTTATTCTACGATATTTCTGATTCTCCCTAATTATGCGTTTAAATTTATTTATCTTAATTATTTTCACTTTAAAATCTAGCCCAGTTACTTAATCCTGAGTGAATGTTTATTCTACAATTATTTAGAGACGTGTGTCAACTTTCTTACTTGGATAAACAGCAGGAAAGCTGTCTTAAGTCTTTTCAATCCCATTTTATGCATCTTTTTCGACATTTGTACCTTCGAGCTTGCGAATTCTGCACTAAAATATAGTGATCTCCGAATGCTGCTTTGGGCAAAAATAAAATATATATAATCATACTAGTGAAAATGTCACCAGATTCCACCTCTAACAATAAAAATCACTTTTCGGATAAATGTACAGAAGTATAATAGTCTATAGAATGAGCTGAGCGAAGCGATATCTCGGGCACTAATCTAGCCACACTTTTGCCCTTTGCCTCTTGGTTCGACAGGCGATAATAAAATATCATGAGTGAACTATTCGTGACGGAAAATGCCAAGATATACTGACGATCGGCGATGTTCATGAGAAGAATGCCCATGTTTAGCTCATAGACTGCAACTTGTGTTTGTGTCTACTTACGTAATGACCACTATGCAGACCACGTGCTCCTCCTAACCAGCTGTTTAAATGCGTCCAGGCTAGTCCGATGCCTTCACTTTTGGCAGAAACAATCGACTTGACCCTCAAATGCGTAAATGTAATCGTGAGGTATCATATCATTTACTAGTAATTGGGCTACTTTACACATTCATTTCTCAGTTGTTAAGAAAAGTTTCATCTTCTTCCATCCTAAAGGTGACACTGGGTTGGTATTCAGACCAAGATTTTGTGGATCTCTCCGACTACTGGAAAAGTGGCACCTGGGACTTGGTAGACGTTCCTGGAAGGATCGTTAACACATCCAACAGCGGCAAAAACGCTACCTACATTATCTACACTATCAAACTGCGTCGGAAAACCCTGTTCTACACAGTTAACCTCATTTTGCCCTGCGTCATGATCTCTCTTCTGAGCATTTGCGTCTTCTACCTGCCCTCTGATGCCGGCGAGAAGATCACACTATCAATCAGCATTGTGGTTGCGTTGATTGTCTTCCTCATCCTGGTCGGCAAAATTCTCCCTCCTACCTCTACTTCCATACCGCTCATTTCACGCTATCTCCTGTTCACGTTCCTTTTCGATGTCTTTGCCGTCTTCCTCTCCGTGGTCATCGTCAATTGGAATTATCGAACTCCCCGGACGCACACTATGCCGCGATGGGCCCGTATTGTCTTCTTGCGGATCCTGCCAAGACTGCTGCTCATGAAACCGCTCCAGCCTCTGCGTGCCTCCTTCGAGGACTGCAACCATCACACTGAGAATGTCATTCACAAAAACCCGTCCACTGGTCGTGTCTGTGACAGCAGTTTTATGCGGCAGTACCCTTGCCTAGACGCAACGGTCCCCCTCAAAGCCCAACTGAGGGCAGGATCCAACTCCGTCGTCTCCATTGCTGAAACCGCCAGCATTCAGAACAATGATGATGCTTTCGAACAGTCCTTTCTGGAGCCTGGCCTTGTTCCCTTTCTTTTCTCTAGTTCTGAAAGCGATGCGATGATTAGCAACCCCTGCGCCAGTGAGGTTATCAGTAGTAGCGGCAGTAGCAGCTGTGGTGGTTTTGAGATAACTCCTAAGATTCCATCCAACCCGCATCTGGCAGAATTGTCTCAGCACGATGCTTGTTCAAAGCTGATACCAACGCCCTATCGCTCAGGAGACAGCAGTTTCTGCACTACAGGCAAATCTGGGAAGTCGTCAGCGCATACTATGGAATTCGAATTGCTGCCTTCAGCTACCTCGGACTCGCATGAGTCACATTCCTATGAGAACTTGAAATCATCCTGTTTGACGGCATCTGATTATGAGTCCTCTGAAACGGAGAATGAGGAAGACTATGAGTATGCTGTGAGTGTGCAGATGAACAGTGACAAATGCTGTAGCAACAGTAATGCCATATCGGCGATCTCGGATAGCGGTGGTAGCAGTGTATGCAGTAGTGGAGACCTCTTAGATGCATATGCCAGGATGCAGAAAGATCCCAGAATGTTGGAATACGACAACATGCATACGAGAAGTAACACAGAGGTTAAAACAGGAAACAGCCTACTAATTCCTCTTCCGAGTCAAAGCAACACTGCGGCAAAGGAAATTAAAAGCAGGCCGCAAAACACCATACGTCTATCCCATTTCCCAGCAGACGCCTGTGGGGATAAACGGGAGCAGGTTGAAATTGTTCCTTTGGATGAGTCACCGCGAAGGATTGGACAAAGAGGCCTGAAGGCAAATCTTGATTCCTCCTCCAAAAACAGTCGAGTCTTTTCGAAGCCTTCGCGATTATTGCTAAACGGATCTTATTCAAGAGACTATCACTGGAATAAACAACCTTGGGTTCAGGATGGAGCTTTATCCTTCTCGCAGTCTGTAAGGAAACTGCGGAGAACTACCGTAAAACAGCCCGACGTAGGGATAAATAACCCGTTTACTGGCTCCTCCAACATTCCACGAGGGGAAAGCCTACACGGTAGGCATTCGCGGGTCCCTTATGCTGAAGAAATACCGTTGAAAATGGAAATGAGCCATGTTCAGATAGGATTGGCAGCCATCAACTATATTTCAAAAACTCTGGATGCAGACTGTGAATATCGCACAGTAAGTTCGCGGCAAGTCGGTTTTACCCTTTGTACGCAAAGAAACAAGTATACTGAATCCGCAATAATTGCGCATTAAGGAGTAGAATTTTTCCTCTAATGAAATTTATAACCAAAAATTGAATGTTCCAATTAACCATCTAGCACCAGTGAAGATTTAAACCAAGTGTTATTCTATGCAAAAACTTAAGAGGGTTGAATACTTCAAATGTGACCGGAGTTAGGCAGACAGCGAGAAGAATGGGAAGTCCGAGATAACACCACAAGCTTCGTCTAGACTCACATCGAATTATTTGTATCCAACTGGACTATTTTGCCGAATGTGATATAAGCCCCACTTGAAGGGACGTCGTGCTCGGTTACCAGCTGTATTTAGGTTCTTTCCAGCCTGTGATTGGGGTACGAAGGGCTAGCAATGTCCAGCAAGCCGCAAATTAGCATTGCAGTCCCCCTTCTAATTGTCAGCTTTGCTCTTCGATCAGCAGTTATTCCGCGTTATGAGACCGCTTGTGCGGGTGCACCAAGGAAGAATGGACGCGTGTGTTAGGCTATGCTACCAGATTAAATCTGTAGGGCAATCGAATAGGGACTCCCCGTAATGCACGCGACCTTGCGCCAAATTACAGGGAAGTTTGGGTTAGGAATGAGATTAAGTTAGGATTGCGGTGAAGCTTAGAGTTATGATTCGTGTTAATGTTAGTGTTGTCGTTAGGGTCAGGGCACAAAAATAAGTACGCTCCCTGGAATTTAGCCCAAGGCCGTCTGCATTACGGGTGTTTATATTCCTCTGTCGCATAACCGGATCATAATAAGCCAATTCTTACGGTACGTCGAATATTCCAAGGCGCAGCAGGCAGAACGCGAACCCATACTCCATTCAAAAGAACAGGATGCGTTCAAAGAGAGAAAGAATTATTATGCGTTTGCCGTTCTGAGTAGCGATTTCGTCTATCCATCTTCAGACATGGAAGATTCCTGCGCGCCGCTCTTATTATATGCAGCATTCAACCTGGTGCGTAGGTTGTCAATGCCGACTCCGGGGATGATCCGGAATTCCGTTTCGCCGTCGACAGTGGCAATAAACGACGGCCCTGATTGTTTCATTTCTTCGCTGCTTCCTGTTTACTAGATTCGTAAAATCTGATTCTAATTCATAAAGTCACCTCTGAGTGGCACTCATCGGTCCTTCTAGATTGTGAAAAAGAATAATAATCATTCACTTTCGCGTTGAGCTTCGTTGGAGAGCGCGGTGAGGAGTAATCAACAGCCAAAAAGTCAGAAATGGCCATCTCAGGCTAATTCGTCTTTATCGGTATCCCCTCTCTGCATAGATATCACTGGTGGCAATCTATGACAACCTCTTGCCTGAACTTCAAAAAACAACGGGACGAGCACACCCGTGAGAGACTCGGTGACTGCATCTTCCTAAGATCGTAATTCAAACGTGTTACCAGACAAATACAAGCGGGACTAGAACAGCCATTAATGGCTCAACTAGAACTCCAAAGAGATTATCCTTATCCCATTCTACAGTCAGGAGGGATACCCGAACGTCACCCATTGTGGCTGTGGCTCAGTGATTGGGGGTGTTGGGTTCCTAGCGAACAGGTCGCAGGATCGAGCCCCACCTGTCGCACATCTCGAGGTGAGGCATGACTGGCTGACGACGGCTAATGAGCCAGAAATGATCATTCCAGTCTCCGTTGTCTTTGTAGGTAATGCTACTCTGTCTATTTCACACGCCGCTTTACGGCTGCTGGTTGGGCTCAAGAGAGAGCCCCAAGGCACAACGGAACGAGTGAGTTCCGTAACACGATCGGCGAGCGTCCCTCTACCATTGTGAATATTCTGGAGGTGGGTTCATAGTTCAGATAAGTGAGCGTTCGACTCGTGCGCTCAGCGAATAATATACCAGTTTCAAATCTCTCGTTTTCTTGACGCAGAGTCCAGCGGAATGCGTTGACCAATGTCGACTACTCAAGTCGTCCCCTTTTTTCGGGTTTTGCTGTTAAATCACTTTCCAGAACAGAAGTAAACAAAAATGCGATAATGAACTCCGTCATCGTCCATTTGTGAACTCCACGGACTGGGGTTACCTGGAATTGTTCACGACTTTTTCGAAGTAAATAAAGATGACGACATGCAACTAGACTGTTCGCGGAAATGAATGATTACACGCGCGTTGTTGATAAACTGCTAAAGTAAAGTCGGTTAGAATCAATGATGCTTTTCGGTAGTCTGGTTACGTTTTTATGCGCTGCCTAAAACATGGCGTCTTATACTAGTCTAAATTCTGAAGTACTTAAATCATATTTCTTTCCGTACGTTAATCAACTCAACCGCTGAGGTTAAAATCATGCTCTGGGTAGGTTTATTTGCTTCGGGGATCTTTAAGGCTGCCAGTGGACCAGAAAGAGCCACACCAGATAGGCGATATTAAAATGTTCTATGTCAATAATTTCCCTTGAAGCGAAATGTCTTGGATCACGGCGGTCATCTGTTTTATTTCACTATCCAATATTTATATTACTTCGTCCATGCTTTTCGACTTTATACCGACCCACATTAAATCTCGATTTCAGATAGTGCAAGAGTGGAAGTATATTGCTTCTGTGATGGATCGACTGATGTTAGTATTTTTCACCGTGATCACTCTGGTAGTGAGTGCCATTCTCCTAACAAGCGCTCCTTCCCTGCTCTCAAGCGTCGATCAGGATGCCGTCATACGGAGGTACTCAGCCATCAAGAATGCCTGAATTTGGCCCACCGGACGGCAATAATATTTCTCAACACAGCTCAGGTTCGAGCAATGACTATGCATTACTCCTCTCGGCGTCGAGACCCCGGAAAGCCCACCGCCACACTCCCTCCCAATGGGACAGAAGTTGGCACGCAACTGTTAACCCCTGCGCCCTCTCTCTGACGTGCGCCAGTTTCTGGCCTGTTTACTAGGTCTTTCTGCTTTATTCCGCTGCAACTTAAGCTTTAAGAGTTCTTCCAGGGAAATACTATTACTTCTGGCTGCTCAAAGTTTCGAAAGTTTACTCGCGCCCTTTCTTACATTAGGATTTTAACAGTCATCGTATAGAGTATTCTTCCTTCTGAGTAGCATTTAAGCAAGGTCGAATAGACGTCGAGACAGTTATAATACTGGCTGGCGTAAATCTGGTCTGGTTTCTTGGGCAGCAGAACTGACCTGATGACATATCGGCGGGGCTAGGTCGCACACCACACGTCATAGGATATGTGTGAAACACAAGCAAGTGAAAATATCCGAGCGGGTTTTCTGAAAGCCTGTGAGATTATGCATCTCCCAAACCTGAATGGAGCATTATAAACATGGGCTTCTGTTTTCTTGGATGCATACAGAACCAAACGCAAATGGATGGCAGAGGTCATGAGTCTGAATTCGGCTAAAACGTGATAGTGTAAGGCCTTATATCTTGGTCGGGTGTAGCCCGACAGACGGTTGTCATTTCGTAATCAGTGCAACGCTTACTTCCAAAAAAATGGATTGATGTGCGCCTATTGTCTTATACATTAATACGGAATCGGCGGCGACAGACGACGCCAGGCGATGAGACGCAGGTGAACCCTGAATTATGGCTTATAATCAAATGTAACGCCTAAATTGTGGTAGAAGGGACCCGTTGGGAGACCAACGTTGTGTTCTTAAATATATGAAACGAAGAAAACGCATTTGAGATTTAATGCATTAAAGGTCGCATATGGGTGGCTTCGAGCTAAATTCAGAGAGGTTTCTTTTCCCAAGTCCTAACTTTCTTATCCCTAACTCCAACTCCAATACTACTCCTCTCAAACACAAATCCAGCCTTTCTAACACTACCCATAACCCTAATGGTAATCTAAACTTCAGCTTTAAGCCCTACTGGAATGCGGCTGGCCTATATTCTTGTGTCCAGTCGAATTAGAATGGTACTTTGTGGAAGAGAGTTTAGGAGAGTAGAGTACACATATCCGTTCGCTGCTGCACTCCGGTTCGACGAAGCAACTGCGACTCATGACGACCACAGTCTGTGGGGCATCTGCGCTGCGTGTGCGCATGCTAATTTGTTTCTGGTCCAAGACGGAGGTCAGGGTTACGATTGTCAGAATGAAAGTCAAATAAGTCCGAAATAGTGCTGTTTAACCCCATCCTCATCCCCGTTGGAGTTTGCTCTCACCTTTTCTGAATGACAGCAAAACACATTGCAGAATATTCATAAAGTCTGAATAACTGGATATTATTTGCTACTTCTGTGCACCTTTAGGACTTCCCTTACCAAAGGCAAACCCGTCGAACCTCTCTTTCACTCAATAGTACTTGCTTGCCGCATCCATCTTTCGTAAAGAGTAAGGATCAGTAGGGCAGAATCTCCATTTGCGGACTCTGTAGTTACCCTGTAGAGAGCGAACTGGATTTAAACATGGCTCAATTGTTCAGTGATATATTAATATGTTTTTCTTCATTAAAAACACAGACAAGTGGAATGGAAGCTGGAATTATTCAGATAAAGGCCTTTGAAGCTAGTAACTGCAACTCCTGTCGCATTTTCCCGGTTGCCTAATCCTTGTATAGATCCCGTTCATATACAGATGTTTCCCTTAAAATTTAATGCGCACTGTAAAATTTATGCATTTGAAATCCATCACTGGTCGTAATTGGTTATTGTTTTTGCTGCGAAGCATTAAGCAGCAACAGACCAGACAAAATTTCGAAAGGGCCAAAACCGAATTCATTTCATAAACATTGGACGAGTGAGTGATGCATAGCACACTGTAAAGCGTTAACCACAGCCAGGCAATTGCGTTAATCTACTCTAGAAAAAATGGTGAGCAATAGGAGATTCAGTCAGACCTCCAAACAATTTTTTCTCGCTAAGGTATTTCGGGCTTATGACGAAAGTACTGCCTTGTCGCCTATCCCGGTCTTTCGAGTCGTCGTCTGACGAGCGGTCGCTCGTTCAATCGATCTAGTTAATGGGACGGTTAAAGAGGAGTCAGGCAGAGTGGACTTTTCACGTCGCTGGATAATCTGCTTAACGCGAAACATCGAGGAAAGGAAGCAGGTTTGGGGGAGGGACAAAATGTGACGCAGCGCGGCATCGGAAGCACAAGATTTGTATTAGTACAACCGTCCATCCCGTTAAACGGTCTACTTTTGTGCTCAAATACGGCAGTCCAATTCTCCTTAGTCATATTTTAATATTTCCTTGTAATGCGGTTGGTACATGCTGAGTCATCCGAGTGCAACTTAAGGAGTTCGATATGTCCAATGGTTTCGTAAAAATTGAATGAAGAAGTCATTTGCAGTTTGAACATGCGATAGTTCGATTGTCATTGCTGACGATGTCCACCGTGTGCTCCACAACAAGGTGAAGCAGGGACGGTGACTTACGCATGAATTAGTTTATAATAATATTGGGCTTGTGCAACATATACCGCACTCTCTCCTCACTCCCCACCTGGTCCCGCTGTCATGACAGAGTCAAGAAAATCGCAGGCGGAGTAGGGCGCAGGTGGGTGGCATAGTCGAGCCCGCACCATGGCGCTCCACTCCACACCCCCTGGTCCACACAGCAAATTGCCAGGATTTTAACCGACAACAAAAATGGAGGGGCTACAGGAGTCTCAATGTGCGTGACGTCAGCCGGTGACTGGGTCTGTCATCGCGCCCCGAAGTGTTGCATTTGTTATGTTGCGCAAATCCGATAACGCCTGCCAGAATCCGATATGGTCCCGCGGTAGTCCAGCGCATCTACCACGCGGCCCGTTTGGGTGGCGCAGTCTGAACACGCAGTGATTTTATGTTTGCATTGTGTTCAAGCAAACAATCGAACCGCACCGTGTTGTTGTACGCGAAATACCGTGGCTTTCGCTGACAGAGAATACAATGCGAAATAAGTCAAAATTAAATTCACAGTATTCCCGTTCGTTACAGTACGTGTTTTGTCGGTGCTCAAAATATTCGCCGGAAGAACTTCGTGGCGCTCATCAGTATTCCCCAGCTGTCCCAACGAGGGGTTTTAATTTTTCTGGGAAGCTGCTAAGAAGCTTGCTAGGCAAGTTAAATTTTTAACTCAACTGAGGGCCACATAATCACACCGAATAATTGGTACCGGTTTAAATAAGCAGCGTGTTTCAGACCAGAAGTAGTCGGCAAAAAATACATCATGGCCTACATTCAGTTTATGAAATTAATCCAGTTTTCCGGTACTCGACCGTTCTTCTTCTTCATTGAAGGAAAAAGAATTTTAGTCTCCACATATTTATCCTGTGCATTAAAAGAATATGACTTACAGGTGCCACATTTGGATAGTTTCCACAACCTCTGAACAGGATCTAACACGATAGTTGCACCATTTGGTCATGTTTGAAACAGGCTCGTTTTACATTCTTTTAACTTCCAAATCAATCCTTAGATATTCATATATTTTACAAAACGAAAAAACTCACACATTGGGTGAAATCGAGTGATATAATCGATCTTTTCTCGCCTGCAGTAACAAGGAGTAACCATAGTCCTTTTGAATTGCCGTCTCAAATCCGCAAAACAGACGTGCTACCCATATGTATTCGATGGCTTATTCTTGAGTCACTGTAATCCTACATGCACCAGTGCCTAACGTGTTCATGGAATGGGGGGGATATGTAATGTGCAGCTTGTAACAACGTACTGGAGCAGAGAAGCAGATGATTCACACACTGCATGCTGTATTTAGGACAATAATGGTGCGACCAAAGTTACTTATGGCTACTGAAATGCCCGAAAAGGCATCTTCTAGATGTTAGAGCGTCTTTACTGCGGAGGCGGTCGCCATTGAACAGCAGAACCCTAATCTGTGCGGGTTTTTAAGGGAACACAACAGCTGCCTTTGTTCAAAATGACCGTGGCTGTCATAGCAGTGGATGCACAAGCCACGCTGGTGAATCTATTACATTTACGAGGGGCGAAAATTGATATCCGTGCCTTCTGCGCCCTCGCACTCTTCGGCCACATGAAGCATCAGGGGCTAGCATTTATCTCCCTCCAGTTCATCTGTGAATTATGCTTGCACTGCCATCATCGCCGGTCCCAATCCTCCTTCTTCCTCTTTTACTACCTGTACTCGTATCCGCCCTCCTGGCAGAACCACTAGCTATCGAGAAATACCTGAACGGTCGCAAACTATTCAGAGACCACCATGCCGTGGGGAAAAGGGCCAATTAAAATAATAAGTCTTAACGCAATAGTTTTTTCGAAACCCGGGAATACAGTCTATGAAGATGGATGCGAAAAAGAAGTAGGAAAATGATGTTCGGGCGGTAGCGATCGGAAAATATTGCTACCAATCTGTGGGTTAAATTTAATTCTTTTATAGAAATAATAAAGAACTATAGAGTTAGGCAAGGGTCTTCTGAAAAACAAAATGCTTCCACAGAAAAGCGAGCTTTGATGTTGACTGATTTGTCGGCCGGAGTAGATCGTGCAAGAATACAATTTGTCCGAAGGTACCGCTTGGGAGGTTAAAAATCGGGATTCATATGGAAAACCCAAGTATATGCGTAACATTCCCTTTCTATAAAGCGGTTTTTTCAAAGACGGGGACCGGAAAGTCTGGGCGAATTCGTCGACGGTTAATAAACACTTGGGTGTTTTTGTTATCTTCACTTAGTTGCTAGTGCCTAGTTTGTGGTTCTTGAAATTTAATCTCTTAAGGCGACGCTCAACGGGATGTAGCAACCTGGTTTGCTCGTATAAAAGCGGTTTTCTGGC